GCCTTTGGCATTGAGTCATGCCGGCCACATGACCACAGAGACGTCATTGGACAGCACTGGCTCTTCAGCTTGGAAACGGAGATGAGCACCACCCCCTAGAGTCGGGAACGACTAGCACATATGCGTAAGGGGAACCTTTACCTAAATATTATGTCTCTTTTTAAAAAAAATCATAGTAAGTGATTCACGGGATTATGAAATTATAAATTATGAATTTAGTGGTTCCTGAGGTCAGAAAGTTGGTGACCCCTGTGCTCTTGAGATAAGTAGTATTATGTCAGAAGGAAATGCCAGGATGCTTCTATCTGGCATCAACAGATATAAATTTTAAGAAAATAATCCAGAATTAAGGTTAATTCCCAGGAAGAGCCCCATAAACAACTGGACTGTTTTAGGCACTTTTAACACAATTAAAGAGATATGGGATCATTCTCCAGCCATACCTATATTATAGTACATAGCAACACCATCATTGGTAGCAGATTATATGGTTTAAATGTTGGGTTAAGAATCCAGGTAGTTTAGCAAGAAGGTGCCTTGAAAACATTAGTGATATTTCTTTAGCTAGATGGAAAACCTTTAGAGCTGCTGACCATTTGGACCTCTTAAAAAGTGGGTTTTACCATAGATTTCTCTTGCACTGGCAGCTGGCTGAGTCCCATGTCCTTGACAGATGCTGAACCTGGGAGAGCAATCGCATGGAGAGGTTCGGTCTCCTTCAGCCAGGCATCCTTAGGCAATCGATAAATCTCCAGCCAAGTCTCGGAGCTGCCTTTATTGAGAAATCAGAAGAAAGCACATTAAGCAATCAGGAAGGAGAAGAAAGGTCTCACAGTCCTTTAAAAGGCACAAGGGCCCTTATTATTAATGGTGTCCCGTAACAACAAGACCAGATTCACAGTATTTTGCCCCTGCTCACGAACTGTGAATTCTGGGACAAGTAAAAGATGGACAAACAGCAGCTGTAAATGTTGTCCAGTTTAGATGGATGACAGGACCAATTTAGGGGATGAGGCAAGTGGGACGTATACAAGTTGAGCTGAGATTTTCTGTTGTTTTTTAAAACTATGTTAAGCCTATTTATGTATTTATTTGTCAAATTCATATAGCTGCCCATTTCAACAAAAACTATTCTGGGCAGCGCATATATGCTGATACCAAAGTTATTTTATTATTTTCCACTTTAAAATGACCCAAAAGGTAACTCTGCAGTTGGAACAGGCTCAGACTGAAAAAAAAGAAAAAGAAAAGTAAGATTTTAGAGGCTGCCAGTTGTCCACCATTGTTCAACCGGGGGGACTCAGAAAATTTCTAATGGAAATTCCTTAAACTTCTGAGTCTATACAAAAGGGAAGTCAGTGGCAGAAGAACTGCTCAAGATGGATTTCCAAAGTGCAAAAAAAAAAAAAAAAGCAAACATACATTCAAAATGAAAAAGGGCTTCTGCAGGCATGACATAAGCCTAAGACTGAAAATCAGGTTTGTCGGATGTGACATCTTTTCTATCCTGCTGTACGGAGTAGAGCAGTGGTCTCCAACCTTGACAACTTTAAGACCTGTGGACTTCAACTCCCAGAATTCCTCAGCCAGCAAAGCTTGCTGGCTGAGGAACTCTGGGAGTTGAAGTCCACAGGTCTTAAAGTTGCCAAGGTTGGAGACCACTGTAGTAGAGAGTTGGTCTCTGACCGAAAAAACCACTTGAAGAAACTAGAAGCATTTGAAATGTAGATTTATAGGCGGCTGTCACTTAGAAGCTGGGTTGACAAAATCAGAAATGAGGAGGTGATAAGCTGTCTGGGAAGAAAGGCAAATCATCAAAGTCATTAAAAAGCGAACATTAGAATATTTTGGACATGTGATGCGACACCCAGAAAAATACGGCATCCTTCACTTAATCCTCCAGGGAAAGACTGAAGGCAAACAAGGTCCAGGCAGAAGAAGAACATCATGGTTTCAAAACCTAAGGGTCTGGTTTGGATAAAACTCGTCAGCACTTTTTCACGCGGCTGTTGACAAAAATAGGATTACCAAGATGATCGCCAATGTCCGATGGCGGATATGGCAGAAGGAGGAAGAGGAGGAGGAGGAAGAGGAGGAGGAGGAGGAGGAGGAGAAGGAAAAGGAAAAAGAGAAGAAAAAACATACATTCAAAAGTATCCGTTGTCTCCAAACCTGAACTCTTAAATACTGTTTGGAAAGTTCTTGTCTTAATAATGCAGCTTGGATTTCAACACAACTGTTCTAAACAAAGGAACAGCACGTTACAAATCAAGTTTTAGAAAAAGAAAAAAAAAACAAGCTGGCTCTTTATGATGCAAATTACTGTTGTTGGTATATATATATGCATTATAAAGATATCGAAATGTATTCCACATCTCCATATAAAAGGAAAATAACCAAACCTTGCCAAGGTTATGAAATCTATGAATAGATTTTAAAAATTCATGGTGTGCCTCCAGGGTTTGGGCTCAAATTTCATCATCAGGAGGACATATTAAGTACGTCAGTAGGAAGGGATAGTTTTTAAGACTTTTTTTTTATATCAAAACCACCTGTTGTGGCCTGGAGGCAGCCAGCAAAACTGGCAGCACAGTGAGACAGTGAGGAGTTTGGGGACGAACATGGGCCAGTCCTGGGGGCTGAGGAAAGCTCAGACGAGGGCTGTGCATCGGAGGCAGAGAGGGAGCTAGACAGCAGGGAGGTAGAGGAACAGCTGGAGCCTATTCCAAGTATGTGCATGCACAGAGCTGCCAGAAGACAAGAACAACTAAGAAAGCAGGGTTAACTTAGTATAAAGCCACCACCTTGGAAGTGATAGGACACAAAAGAGGAGGGAACGGGGAGTGGGCTTTTGCGGGAAATAATTCGTTCTTTCGGTTGTTTCCAGAGTGAAAAGTTCTGTTTGTGACTATAAGAGACTCTGTGCCAAGTATTGCCTTGCCCTGCATTTGGAAACTAGTTATGGCAGCTCTCCAAGCAAGATAAGGTTCGTGTGGATAAATATTCCCCTGAAAGACTGTTTGCTAAAGCCTTGCTGACTGTGAATGAAAGGAATTCACAGTTGTGTAAATAAAAGGGGTTTTGCCGGGACCAAGACTCTGCTTCGTGCTTTTTAAGGAATCCTAGGTCAGAACACCACCCAACTGTGGATCTGGACTTCAAGCCCATCAGATGGTTAAGGGAGGCTAAGACTTGCCTTGTAGCAGGAATCCTGCATAGTCACACTCCTGAGAAAGCTCCAGTGCCACGCAGATGTTCCGTTTGCTGATATCTTCCTGACAAACAGGAGAATACAAAATATGAGATCAGGCTGGGCCTGTTGACCCAGGAAAGCAAGGAGTCTAATACTACATTATTTTGGCCGCAGAGCTGAGGAATCTGACAGAAGAGCAAAAGTCTTTATCGGAGAAAGTCTGAGGGTTAAAAAAAAAAAAATCAGCCTGGTACAGGTAAATCCTCGACTTAACAACCACAACTGAGCCCAACATTTCCATGGCTAAGTGAGAAAATCATTAATTGTGCCCCCGTTTTACCACCTTTCTTGCCACCCTCGTTAAGTGAATGACTGCAGTTGTTAAGCGAACCTGGCTTTCCAATTGACTTTCCTTGTCAGAAGTTCTCAAAAGGGGATCACGTGACTCTGGGGTCACTGCACCCATCCAAAAGATGAATCAGTGGCTAAACGTCTGAATTTTGATGACATGCAACCGTTGTTCAGTGTTACAAACGGTCGTAAAGTCACTTTTTTAATGTTGTAAATTTATATTGTAAATTTGAACGGTCACAAAATGAACTGTTGTAAATCGAGGACCACTTGTTCTTCTTTCCCATAGTGATTAACCAGATGGGTCATAAAAGTGCACTCAGAAGACATGTGTCCAAATTAATAAAGAAAAAAGGGAAATCTTCAAGTGTCCATGCATTATTCTTGGTTGCAGTATGCAAGTGGTTTGATACAGCTTTCTCCTAGATTTTACTTCCCTTCTAAATCTAATCTATATTCTCTCTCTATAGTCTCCTCTTTAAGTACTAACCAGACCCAATTCTGTTTAGATTTTAAACTGGCAATAGACATTTTATCTCTAAAAATTAAAAACATTTTTAAGATTACAGCAATATGGATATCCCACAATGGACATTGATAACTGGGATGTTCAAAAAGCTGGAATTTAGAATAGAATAGAATAGCAGGGTTGGAAGGGACCTTGGAGGTCTTCTAGACCCACCCCCTATCTAGGCAGGAAACCCTACACCACAAATGGTTATCCAACATCTTCTTTAAAACTTCCAGTGTTGGAGCATTCACAACTTCTGGAGGCAAGTTGTTCTACTGATTAATTGTTCTGTCAGGAAATTTCTCCTCAGTTCTAAGTTGCTTCTCTCCTTGATTGGTTTCCACCCATTGCTTCTTGTTCTCCCCTCAGGTAGACAAGTGAAAATTGACAGGTAGATAAAGATAAGCACTAAGCAGTTAATACGATACAAACTCACCACTTCATTTATGGATCTTATATGCAAGAGGTTTTCCCTGACAAAGCAAAAAAGACGTGCAAAACCTGGAAAACAAAACAAGAATGATTCTAGGGGATGGCAATTTTTCCTTCATGTTCATTAGCCAAACCACAAATGGTCCCTTTATTTATTCAGTAACCATATTTTGATTGGCTGAGAATGCTACCATAAATGAAAATCATGTACATTCTCTTCTGTTTGAAGAAAACAGAATTTATTCTATCCGGCTACTCAAAAGGAAAAACTTGAAACTCATTTTGCAAGACTTTGCTGAAGACAGTCATAATAAATTATGGAACCAATCTGCAAATTAATCACTTATTCTTAAAGAATATAAATGCATAGCTACCTACCCATCTCATCCACTGTTCCAAGAACATGGGAGACCCCACCAAGGACTGACAGCTGAATGGTGCAAATTTCAAGTTTGGTGGCTTCCCACGTACACAAGTTCTCACAGGTGGTTGAGCTGAAGACAGAAATCCCAGTGGAATGCCCGATAAAGATGTACCCTTCGGAAGCTGACAGGCAGTTTACTCTTCCTGAAACCTGGGAAGATTCAAAAGAAGAGAGCATGATGTCTACCTCAGAAACAAGAAGATTCAAAAGAAGAGAACATGTCTACCTCAGAAAGAAGAAGATTCAAAAGAAGAGAACATGTCTACCTCAGAAACAAGAAGATTCAAAAGAAGAAAACATGAAGTCTACCTCAGAAATATGAAGATTCAAAAGAAGAGAACATGATGTCTACCTCAGAAACAAGAAGATTCAAAAGAAGAGAACATGTCTACCTCAGAAAGNGAAGATTCAAAAGAAGAAAACATGAAGTCTACCTCAGAAATATGAAGATTCAAAAGAAGAGAACATGATGTCTACCTCAGAAACAAGAAGATTCAAAAGAAGAGAACATGTCTACCTCAGAAAGAAGAAGATTCAAAAGAAGAGAACATGTCTACCTCAGAAACATGGATTCAAAAGAAGAAAACATGAAGTCTACCTCAGAAATGTGAAGATTCAAAAGAATAGAACATGATGTCTACCTTAGAAACATGACATACAACATGAATGCCATCATAATTCCAATCCCTCTATACTACAATGTCTTTATATGTGGGGGTGATCTTTTTTTATTTCATCTGATTTTTAAATGGTTCCATGCTTTAACATCTTTGGCTCATTAAAAATATGTTTAATAAACCTTTGGTAATTTTAATAGTTTTGATGGAATTATACATAAGGGATCTCTGAGGCGAAGGGATGATCTAGAAATATTTAGATGTATGTCTTTGTGGTAACGTCCAATTCATATCTCACTGAAATTATACCATAGTTAAGTCAAAATAAAACCACTTTGATTGTCCAAGGGGGTGACACTGTGGAGGAAAATAAAATATGGTGCCAATGTCACATAATCGAAGGTTTCTTTGGATTATTTATCTGGAAGAGCTTTAGATTACCATGAATTTATTTGTAGGGTGACAGAGTAAGGGTGTGAAACTTTGCTGCTTGGTCTCTTGTAACGGCCGCCTTTCTTCTATTCGATCCCAGGCTCTTTCAAACAAGTCTTTCAATATTTTATTGATCATGCAGAAAGGCTGAGGCAAGGAGTCTAGGATCAGGTCAGGATCATTGAGGAAGAAATTTTCTTCTTCGTCTTTTTTAATCCAGTCTTTCTCGGTGGGCGGAGGGATGTCAAAATGCTGCTTCCGAAGATAGAAAGGCATCTTTCTTTTTCTTCAGCACTCTTGCCCTGCACTCGACTGAGTTCTACAATAAAATTCAACCCAATTATTAATCAGGATGGATGGAATTTGTTTTAAAAAAGATCATCCACAAGTTTTTTTAAAGGTTTTTTTTAAAACCCACTTTAATTTCTCATAAATAACTCACAGCACCAAATATACATAACATTCTTTTCTCCTCCAATTTTCCCCACGATAACAATCCTGCAAAATGGATTGGACTAAGAGAGAGCGACTGGCCCAAAGTTACCCAGCTGGTTTTCATACCTAAGGTGAGACTAGAACTCACAATGTCCTGGTTTCTAGCCAGGTGCCTTAACCATTGCATCAATTTATTACTTTACTGCAATCCTACACACACTCTTGCCAGCTCTCCGCCTAGCATAACACTGTTGTGCAATATCGGACTATTTTGGGTTTTTTCTTGGAGGGAGGGACTTTTTGTATGCTGTCCAAAGTCCCTTAAGTTTGGGCAGACCCAGAAACAAAAGCGAAACAAACTAAACAAAAACAAAACAAAACACAAACGAAAGCAACCAAAACCAACCGAAACAAACTGAAACAAAAAATAAAAATAAAAACAAACAATACAAAACACAAACAAAAGGAACCAAAACCAAAACAAACAAAACAGAAACAAACTGAAACAAAAAATAAAAATAATACAAAACACAAATAAAAGGAACCAAAACAGAAACAAACCAAAAAAACCCCAATAAAATGAAAACCACCAAAGCAAAAACAAATCAACACAAAACACAGAACGAAACACAAAAGGAAACAAAACACAACCCAAACAGAACGAAACAAAACAGATTCCAGGGCATCCCAAAAGCAGCAACCTCAACCAGAAAGCTTGTGCTTTGGCATAAGGCCTGCCCCTCCTTCTAGGTAAGCAGCACCTGGGGAGGCTTTTAGAGGCGTCCAACTGCAAAGCCCATCAAAGCTGGGGATGATGGGTGCTACAGTTCTCCCGCTTGGGAAAGAAGGAAGGGGAAAGTTCAAGAGGGAAAAAAAGGGGGAAAGAAGGAAGTTCAGGCAAAGGCGGGAAAAATGATTCACACAGGCAGGCAGAGGAGCCCAAATCAAAGCTTCCAAGCTCCTCTTCTTGGCTTCCGCCTGCCTCCGCGCACACCTGTCCACCCGCCACCAGCGCACACCTGTCTCCGGAAGTTGACGCGTTGCTATGGCAAACCCCCCCCCCGGCGGAAGGGGAAGGAAGGGAAAGGCCATGGAACGCCGGGGGCGTGGCCACGGTTCAGCCCCGTCCCGCCCGCCCGGAGAAACAGCTGATTCCTGTCCAGAGTTCGGAGCGGTCGGGCGGGGCTTGCAGGTGGCATGATGGAGGCTTTTGTGCATTTCACCAACCAGACGCAGGGTCGGGAGCGACTCTTTCGGTGAGGGGGGAGCAGCGCAAGAGGGTGGGAAGAGAATAAGGGGGTGGCGGGACCCTCCTTCCTTTGCAAGGAACTTGCAGACCCCTCGCCCCCATCCCCCTTGGGCTGGAGAATTCTGGGAGTTGAAGTCCACAAGTCTTGAAGTTGCCAAGTTTGGAGACCTCTGGGCTAGGGCACCCGTCTGGTTGGGTTCTGGTGAATTTAAGATTAGATCAGATTAACAGAGTTGGAAGGGACCTCATAGGTCATCTAGTCCAACCCCCCCTCACTTCCCCCCCCACCTCAAGCAGGAGACCCTAAACCAGAGGTCTTCAAACTTGAAGGCTTTAAGACTTTAAAGTTGCCAAGTTTGGAGACCCCTGCCCTAAATCATCCCCAACAAATGGCAGTCCAATCTCTTCTTGAAAGTCTCAAGTGATGAAGCTCCACAACTTCTGAAGGCAACTTCTGTTCCATGGGCTGATTGCTCTCACTGTCAGAAAGTTCCTCCTTATTTGTAGGTTGAATCTCTCCTTGGTCAGTTTCCATCCGTTATTCCTTGTCTGACCTTCAGGTGCTTTCAAAAATAGCCTGACCCCCCTCCCCACTTCTCTGTGGCAGCCCCTCAAATATTGGAAGACTGCTATCCTGTCTCCCCTGGTCCTTCTGTTCAGTGGACTAGCCATGCCCAGTTCCTGCAACCGTTCTTCATATGTTTTAGTCTCCAGTCCCCTAATCATCCTGGTTGCCACAACCATCCCCACTTCAACTCCTTTTTTTATATAGAACATAGAATCATTGGGTTGGAAGGGATCTTGGAGGTCTTCTAGTCCAGTCCCCCGGCTCGAGTAGGAGACCCTATACCATGCCAGATAAGTGGCTGTCCGGTCTCTTTTTGAAAGCTTCCAGTGATGGATGTCTATGGAGATTCTCAGTCGTTCAAGTCATGGTTGTCCTTTGAAGGCTTTTTGCTTCTCATCCAAGAAGCTTCTTCAGCTCTGACCAGATAGTGTGGAAAGGAATCCAGTCACAGCTGAAGAAGCTTCTTGGAAGCAAAACATCTTCAAAGAAAAATTAGAAAGTCCAGTTGCCTCTTGAAAAAAAACAAAGCATCTTTGGGACTCCAGTGATGGAGCATCTACAACTTCCAGAGACAAATCATTCTGCTGATAAATTGTTCTCACTGTCAGGAAATGTCTCCATTGTTCTAGGTTCGATCTGTCTTGAATGATCTTACAGCTAAGTACTTCTTGTCCTGCCCCCAGATGCTTTGGAGAATAGGTTGACCTTATGAGAGCCTTCACTGGAAACGTTTTTAGAAGTTCTGAGAGATATTTAGTGTAGAGCAGCCCGCATGGAGCTGTGTAGCAGTCTCAAACTTCAGCAGTGGATCTCAGGAAATGTTTCATGATGTTTTATGTTAACGTCATGAGATGCTTTTGTGATAATTTTTACTGTAAAATGTTTTAGAAAATTTGGCAAGTTTCAAGTCCACAGGACTCGTGGGTTCTGGATTTTAGTCGAAGGCCACAGGAACAACCAACCAATCCCTGTGGAACGATCTACCCGTAGAGATCCAGACCCTTCCCACTCTCTCGGCCTTCCGAAAAGCCACTAAAACCTGGCAGGCCTGGGGCTGTTGACTTCATGAATGAGGTCCAGCCCCACCCAGACTGAGTGTATGGTGCGTTGCTTTTAAATTTGTTTCTTCTTCTATTTTTTAACTTTTTATCTTTAACCTTG